GTATCAGGACACACTGAACGTCGATGTTTTCCTCGAGTCCGTGTCCTTGTCCTTGTGTGAACTTTCATAGTAAAATCCGCCGTCCACATTTCTAATTATTAATTATCTGTTCATCTAGTACTGGGGCTCACCCAAAAATATTTTTGTTTCCTTTTTTCATTGTAAAGTATAACAAAAGACAAAACATTTACTGTCATTTCGGAGCCTCGCTGCAAAACTCATCGGTGATCATATTGGATGTGATTATGTACATGAGGTCCCCATGGGCTGAAAACATTGGCGCTTCGGTGGTAAGCTGCGGAAACATTTGGTTCGGATATTTCGGAATTCGGATCCGAAATTCAATTCGGTTCGGGTTTCGGACAAAATCCAAATTTTCGTTAGTTTCGGATGAGTTTACGAATATTCGTTGCGAGTAAAACAGAAAACCATATAGAGATATGTATACTGAAGCTGAGGCTCCCAGACCCGAATTTCCGAATTGCATTGGGGTCTGGAAGCTTCAGCTTTAGTAATATATGTATATGGCTCCCATGTTGCCGTATCGAAAATTCGTGTTCAGACCCATTCGGAAGCATTAAACCAAAAAACACATCTGATTGGCCAAAAAAGTCACATGTCCAATTCAGTTTCATTCTTGAATTAAATTCAGACGCGATCCGAAATTCGGAAATAGAAATTCAGATTCGGACACATTCGGATGCAGTGGGATTCGGAAATTCGGACGTGTCCGAATTTTGGGAAAATAATCCGAATTTTGATTCCGAATGACACGAATGGCACATGTCTAGTTGGTAGAGCGCCGAATCCGATCCTTGGAGAGAAATAAGGATGGTTATTCTAAAATTAGTGGCAACTCAAGGATGGGGACACCACCTTGCGAGGGATGGGGACACCACCTTGCGAGGGATGGGGACACCACTTTGCGAGGGATGGGGGACGCCACCTTGCGAGGGATGGGGGACGCCACCTTGCGAGGGATGGGGGACGCCACCTTGCGAGGGATGGGGACACCACCTTGCGAGGGATGGGGACGCCACCTTGCGAGGGATGGGGACACCACAGACGGTAAGGGAAGGCTGCAATTTTCTAGAAGGACATTGGAGTATTGCTGTTGTGCAGGTATAGATGATTGTGTTACAAACCCCTTCCCATGCCCGGTCCATTGGCCTCAGCGTGCTGAACTCTTGCCAAGTCCTGACACAAAACATTGAGCAGGATGTGGGTAACTCGAGCGCCTACCTGGCTGAACTCAGCCGACTCTCCCAGAGCACAATGACATGGCACATGCCAGCACTCCTTCTATGACACCCTGCCAGGGGAAGAGATGAGACTTGATAAACATGTTTACGGACAGGAAGTCACTTGTGTGCAGGAGAATCTCTCCCTCCAGGATCAAACGTCATCCCAAGCGTCTTCTGTACTTAATAATTTTTAAATCTGAACTTTAGCTAAATATGCACTTGAAGGACATATATACCAACGGTCTTAACCTGCTCATAGGTGTACAACTGTGTCCAGCTGGTCAGGACCCAGGAACCCCTGCAGGGCAACAGTCAGGTCAGTGACCGCGCTTCTCTCCACTGCGTTCTATATAATGTGTACTATGTAAACAAACACCTTCATTTACATATCTTCCTCAATAGCCACAAAGGATAAAAATTAACTTTGTGTGCATCAGACTCAGATATTGCCTTGAAAAATCAGCAGATACTATCACTGTGCTGCACATAACCCGTGCAGAGACCGTGGGAGGGACTCAGTAGCTTCACCCACTACAGGCTACCTGCAGACAAAAACAGGAGGGGGCGGAGACAAGACCAGTCACCCTGCACAAGGAGAGAGCAGCAGTGACTAGTCTTTATTACAGGAGGGGGCGGAGACAAGACCAGTCACCCTGCACAAAGAGAGAGAGCAGTAGTGACTAGTCTTTATTACAGGAGGGGGGGCGGAGACAAGACCAGTCCCCCTGCACAAGGAGAGAGAGCAGTAGTGAGTGGTCTTTATTAAAGGAAGGGGGGGCGCGGAGACAAGACCAGTCACTCTGCACAAGGAGAGAGAGCAGCAGTGAGCGGTCTTTATTACAGGAGGGGGCGGAGACAAGACCCGATTACATTACTAATTCCCAAGAGGACCAGGAAGTAGAAAAACAATAATTGCAAATAAAATTAAAATGTGTTTGTTCAGCAAATGAATGTCAGATGATTTCATATCATTATACAGAGCTGATATGCTGATGTGACTTTTACTCAAAGGGGGGTAAAGGTCGCTTTACGTGAACAGACGATGATAACATTTTGCAGTTACGTTATTCGGATGATTTTGGGGTCGGCGCCGTTGCTTTGACTCATCTGACCTTTGTACAGCAACAAATATCTTTCAGGTTACATTAGAGGAAGTTGGAGAATCATTGCAGTTATTATCTCTCCTTTCTATCACTCATTCACAATGTTTGTCAGCTCATTCAGAGATGTTCCGGGTGTGCGGGGGCCAATGTAGAGAACTTGCGCCATCGCCCTCTGTTCCCCGATGAAGTCACTCTGCTCTGTACACACTCTCCGCTCCCCATCAGTACTTTGTACCCAATTCTTCTACTGAGAATCATTAACCATTAATCAGGGGTCATATCAATAAATATCAGTAATGAGAGATAACAGCACACACTTAGGGCAGATCCACAGAGGACTATGGTGGCAGAGCTCCCGAGGTGACCCTCCTCTATAGAAGTGTACATGACAAACCTCTCACCTGCAAAGCCGGTCATGTGATTCAAAATACGGACCTTTAAAAAAGGTACCATATGATACAAAAAGAGATATTAAAAGGCAGGGGCGTCCCGAGGCTGGGTGACACCCGGAGCGGTAACCGAGTGTCACCTCGCCGAGACATCGCTGCACATGCGCGTGACGTCATCGTGCACGCGCGGCAGTATCTGGTACCTGCCGGCGGACATCTTGGTGATGGACGCCATCAGAGAGAGGAGGGGACAGTCACCCGGCGGGATAAGGTATGCCGCCGGATCCCCTCCTCTCTCCTGATACTGTCGGGCGTTCGGTCCATGACTTTTCAGAGGGGGGTGACACCAAAATGACTAAGTCATTTTGGTGTCACCCCTCCAATGGTGGCACGCGGGTTCGGGCCGCACCCCCCTTGTGACGCCACTGATTAAAAGGTAAAAAATTATACTCATCCGATCCCCAGAGCTGGCTTGCTCTGAAACCAGTCCCTTCCAGCCTGTCCCCCCTCCTCCGCTGCAGTGGTCTAAGGTCCCCGAGTCATCATGTTCTATACACAGTGTATGGGGCCTAACGACACAGAGGGACTTACCATTGCTGCAGTGGAGGAAAAAACAGGCTGGAGGAAGATCTGTGACAGACAGCCGGTTGGAGGATCGGATGAGTATAACTATTTTCCGCCATAGACCAAAACAACCAGTTACACCTTGCAGTACGAGGGGGGTAACCCCACTGCAAGGGTTAATAATCATTTTCCCCGGAGCTCTGAATTATTGTGACAACCTCAAATTTTCCTATAAACCTCCCACTAAGTGGCGTCACACATCGGGTGACACCATCAGAGGGGGATGTCATTTTGGTGTCACCCCCTAAGTCGGGCACTTGGTCATAAGAGCCCAACAGCGGCACAAGAGGGGGAGGGGGGATGGCATACCTGATCCCACCAAGTCAATATCCCCTCCTCTCTTTGCCGGTGTCCATCACCAAGATGGCCTCCAGCAGTAAAGTACATGACCGCGCATGCCATAAAACGTGCGTGGTGGCCACACCTGGTGACACCCACCTGACTGAGGGTGATATCACACCCTGACTAGAGGGTATTGGGGTGATATAGCAACAGCTGGGGGTATTTGGGCTAGTGAAGCCTTGGCTGGGGGGCATTGAGGTGATATACTGTGCAGACCTTTTCGGAAAGTGCGCTGTAATGCTGTAAAGTGAGAAATAAAAGTGATCATAGTTTATTTTTATCAATTAACAAAATGGAAAGTAAATGAACAGAAGAGAAATCCAAAACCAATCAATATTTGGGGTGACCCCCTCTCTTTTGCTTTCTTCCAGTCAATATTTGGGGTGACCCCCCTTTGTCTTCTTCCAGTCAGTATTTGGAGTGACCCCCCCTTTGCCTTCTTCCAATCAATATTTGGGGTGACCCCCCCTTTGCCTTCTTCCAATCAATATTTGGGGTAACCCCCCTTTGCCTTCTTCCAATCAATATTTGGGGTTACCCTCCCCCCTTTGCCTTCTTGCAGTCAATATTTCGGGTGACCACCCCTTTGCCTTCTTCCAGTCAATATTTCGGGTGACCCCCCTTTGCCTTCTTCCAATCAATATTTGGGGTGACCCCCCCTTTGCCTTTTTCCAATCAATATTTGGGGTTACCCTCCCCCCTTTGCCTTCTTGCAGTCAATATTTGGGGTGACCCCCCTTTGCCTTCTTCCAGTCAATATTTCGGGTGACCCCCCATTACTTGCACACAGGTGATGAAGGAACTTGGCAGGTAGGTTGGTCTCGGTACATCTGAGGATGTCGGCCGCCTCCAATCCTTACGTCTCTTCATGTGATCCCAGACAGACTCCATGATGGTGAGATCCGGGCCCTGTGGGGGCCAAACCATAACTTCCATGACTCCATGATGGTGAGATCCGGGCCCTGTGGGGGCCAAACCATAACTTCCAGGACTCCATGATGGTGAGATCTGGGCCCTGTGGGAGCCAAACTATAACTTCCAGGAGCAGACTTGCAAGGAACCTCCGTCATGCTTCACAGTTGCTGCAGACGCTCATCATTGTACCGCTCTCCACCAAACAAACTGCCTCCGGCTACAGCCAAATATTTTACATCGTGACTCATCAGTCCAGAGCAGCTGGTGACATTTTTCTGCACCCCCAGTTCCTATGTTTTCGTGCACAGTTGAGGCGCTTAGCCTTGCTCCCGCGTCGGTGGTACGGCTTTTTGGCCGCAAGGCCGCAGAAAAATGGCGGATTAGATTTGGATTTCTCTTCGTTAATTTTCCATTTTGTTCAGCGATAAAAATAAACTATGAACACTTATTTCTGAAACATTCTCACTTTACAGGACTACAGCGCACCTGCCGAAACCGTCTGAACAGTCCTATTGATGAGGATAGTTGGGGTGGTACGGCCCTTGGGGGGGTATACTGGGGTAGTAGAGTCACAATCTGGGGGTACTGGACTGACAAAACCTTGTTGTGGGGTGTACTTTTATAATATAGCCCTAGTTGAGGGGTATACAGGTAGCCTTGGCTGTGGAGTACTGGGGTCATACAGCCCCAAAATGAGGGTTATTGGGGCAGTATAGACTTGGCTGGGGGTACTGGGGCAATTTAGCTCTGATTTGGGAGTATTGGGGTAATAAAACCCAAGTTGGGGGGATAACAGGGTAGTGTCACCCAGTTGGGGCATTTTATGGTGATAAAGCCCCCATTTGAGGGGTATTAGGGTGATATAACCCCAGTTGTTGGGTACTGGGTTAGTATATCCCCATTTGGGAGGTATTGGAGTAGTACTGACCAGGTTAGGGGTATCGGGGTGATAAAGCTTTGGTGGTGGAGGTGGTGGGCATAGAAGTGATAATAGTTCAAGTTGGGGAATTTTTGGGTAGTATAGCCCTAATTTGGGAGGTATTGGGGTGATATAACTCAGGTTGGGGGTATTAAGGTAGTACAGCCCCAGTTTGGGGGGTATTTCAATAATCTAACTCAAGATGAAGGGTATTAGGAAGATACAGTCCCAATTAGAGAGAATTGGGGTGATACATTTCCTAGTGTAGAGGATATTGCTAGAGCCCCAATTCGGGTGATAAAACTTCGGTTGGGAGGCCTTGGGGGTGATACAGCCCCAGTGTGGAGGGGAAGTGTGGGACGATACAGCCTCAGTTGGGGTGATATAACTTGGTTTGGGGGTGATACAGTCCAGGTTGGGGGGGTATAAGGACACACAGACACCACACACACTTCTCCCCGGGCGGGGGCTCTCCTCTACCTCATTGTCGGCTTTCTCCGCCATGCCCGGCTCTCCCCGCCCACTCTGTCCGGGGCTCTCCGCTCTGGAGGCGTGGTCACCGTTCTTCCTCACGGGGACTCCGTGGCCCCTCCCCTCCTGTCAGAGCGTGTTGTGATGACGTCAGTGCAGCGCGCCGGAAGTGCCCGGTCTCCATGGTGAGAAGCGGAGAGCGTAGACGGCGGGATGCAGGTCTGTGAGGGCAGCCTTTTTTTTCGTTTTCAGTAGAGTGGCGAGGGTTTGGATCCCCTGTCAGGGGGTGGATGGCTGGGGACTTCTACATGGATAAGACTGCAATTACAGTGTCACACCATGATGGTCCACATACAGTTTTATTCTGATAGATTGTATACAAAGCAAACGCGTTTCGGAGGCCGAGCCTCGACCCTCTCATCACCCCTAAAGTATGAAACAAAAGATTTCTGTAAACGTGGCACATGATTAATGATCATCACGCTCCCAAACTCCAAAAACGAGACCAAAGAATAATACCAGACCTCTGATGAAAGCTGAAGTTTAATCTGCTTCTATTTTGCTTCCCCTGGTTAAGACTGAAGGGAATGAGTTCTTATAAAGAGAAAAGTAGTAATAAAATCCTCCCCTCACTCTGCACGGGTTAAAGGCTTGTTAATGCCTGGGGACTAGGGCTGCAACATCTAATCGATTTATAAGCGGCGAGGATTCTCATAATCGATTAGTTTATTTTCGATTAATTGCCGCCGCTCTGCTCCTCAGGTGATCATCACGCTCATGAAGGGAATGAGTTCCTTTAAAGAGAAAAGTAGTAATAAAATCCTCCCCTCACACTGCACTGCAAGGGTTAAAGGCTCGTTAATGCCTGGGGACTAGGGCTGCAACAGATAATCGATTATAATCGGCGAGGATTCTCATGATTAGTTGATTTTCGATTAGTTGCCGCCGCTCTGCTGCTCCGGTGTGTGTGTCCCGGCAGCAGCGGTCTGTGTCCCGTTCAAACCCCGGTGCGCTCCCCACCTGTATTGGCAGAGGCAGCGGGGGCACAGACCACTGTAGCTGGCATCAGCGGGGAAGAGAGACCGCTGTGACTGCATTCCCCCGCACCTCTTCTGCTACCCCAGTCCTTCTCAGCCCCTCGTGTCTCCGCTGCTGCCTAATTCCTCCTCTGCATCTAAAGGCTGGGAGCCATACCCAGCCTGCTAGAAGATATTGTAAAATGCAATAGCAGGCTGGCTATTGCACCCGCCCACTTCCTGCTGTCAATCAGCAAAGGAGGACCTGATGGAGAAACAGGAGGTGCGTTCCAGTGCAGTGCAATTGCAAAAAATGTGCACACCGTTTTATTCTGAAGTAAACTTTGTCTGTAACGCGGCATTTGTGTATTTTTTATTTTAAATAAATCTCTTTATTTAAATTTTTTTTTTTTTTTTTTAAAGTAATTGAAGTTTAAAATAATTGTTAGCTGCAGCCCTGCTGGGGACCCAATAAATATATATGAGAGAAGAGCTAAATGTACCCCCGACTGAATCTGTGAGTGGCATATCAGTTTTGGGTGGACCGTCCATTTGTCAGCAGGTTGTAATTTACCAGAAATGTATGTTTTGTATACAGAATGAGATCTGGTATCAGGTTGGTCCGGTATGAAGTCAGTGTTGTGCAGACGCTCCTCTCGGGTCAGGCTGACATGTATTTGTATTAATTGTATTTGGTTCTCAGTGTTGGCTGATTTAAAGAGCCCGGACACCCCAAGATGTTTTTACTGTCCGTCCACCCAGCTGCGTGATTGACAGCTGGCTTAGCCAGCTGTACCCGCCCCCTCCCCATGCGTTCCACCAGTCAGCGCTGGAGGATCGGACAGGGGAGGGGGGGGATCCCTGCGGGGCGCCGTGAGTGACAGTCACGGCTCTCTGCAGGGACAGGATCGATAAGTGAGCGAGCGACGGTATGTGTTCGCTCACTTCCCGATCTATTGAGCCGACCTGTGACAGTTTCATTGTCATTTGTCGGCTCGAACAATGAGGCTGACTGATTTTTCACTCACCTCATAGTTCTCCTTTTAATATTTAGAATTTTATCCTTTGGGCGATTGGAAGCTAGTGCAGGGATCGGCAGAGGGGGGCGGGGGATGGAAGCCAGTGCAGGGAATGGCAGAGGGTGGTTGCAGAAACTGAGCGGTGGTTAGGTGAATGAGTCTAGCAGCTGCATTCATGATAGACTGAAGGGGGAGGGGCCTGTGTAGAGGTAGGCCAATGAGGAGGGAGTTGCAATAGTCAAGACGAGAGATAACAAGGGAGTGGATGAGTAGTTTTGCGGTTTCATTCGCTTAAAACTCACCCAAACCACGATTCCGCCTTGCTCCTAGACCGATCCCTTCAGCTTCACTCCCTCTCTGCTCTAGTGGTCTAAGATCCTGTGAGTCCTATACAGCGTACATTCCATTTCCAGGGCAGAGGAGGAGACAGACTGGAGGGAGCAGTCTAGGAGCCAGCCAGGTTCGGGCGAATATATCATTTTTAGTTTAGCTCTCTAGGTAAAATGAACACTTAACCCTTGCAGTGCCGGGGTAGGCCTACTGCCAGGGTTTAGGTTTTATTTGTCCGGGGTTCTTCTTTAATGCACCTAAATTGATTGCTAGGAAGGTTTTCCCGATCCCTCCTTCACCCGAGGAGCGCTTTCAGGAGATGCTTTCTGTGTTATCATTTGAAAAAGTGGCCTACAGTACATGAATATGGATGGCGCCCCATTAAAATGTTATTGATTGACAGGACTGATGGCTCCCCCAGGGTCCAGCCCCTCTCCCATGACTATTTCTGCTCAGCTACTAAACAACTCCCAGCTCAGAGCCGTGGTGAGAGGCGTGTACACAATAACGTGTAGATTGATACGTCCTGGTTATTGTACATGTCAGAGAAGAGAATCATCACACTCTGAGGTGACAGAAGGAACCTGTTGCTGTGATATTTGATACAAGTGAATAATAATAATAACAGAGCTCTGATGAAAGCTGGAGTTGGATCTGCTTATATTTTATTCCCTGGCCCTCCCTCCCCGTCAGTATAATGACATCTTTGAATAAAGCCTTTCCATTTTCATGGCATATGTTATCTTGGACCCAGTGATGTGCCGCACTCTATCAGTTACATTCTTCCCACCTATGTCTGTGATGACATCACCGGGTCTCAGAACCAATGTTTCTGAAAAATGAAATGATTTGATTGAAACATTTGAATCGCATTGTTATCAGTGGGGGTGGGGGATCCAAAGACGGTATTGTACACTGAGTGGCCAGATTATTATGACCCCCCCATCAGTACTTGGTTGGGCCGCCTCGTGACTCCACGAGATGATGAAAGGTGATGCGAGGAATCTGACACGGCACTGTTGCCCTTCTGTTGTCTTGTACCAGTCTTGCCCCTCCCCCGTTCTGCCCTAACATTGACTAGTCGCTGACGGCCACAATTCGCACGTTCAGACCCAGATTTTCGGCTGACAGTCCGGTCTTTAAACACACGAGGCGGGGAGGAGGTGCGGCGTGTGGAGCGTGGATGCGTTGCGGTTCTGGCAGCGGCGAGCGTGAGGAGGGGAGGAGGTGCGGCACGCAGCGCGTGTGGAGCCGTGAACAGGGCCAACTAACCAGAAGCCAATTAATCGATGATTAAAAAAGTTGACAACTTTTTCAATCATCGATTATGTCGATTATTTGTTGCAGCCCTACTATTTATAATGGTCTGGCCCTCTAGCAACTTCAGCGCGAAATTATAGCTAATTTGCCTACAAACTTCAGGTGGTCATAATAATCTGGGCACTCACTGTATGCATGCACTATGCTTCCGCTTTAAACCATTAAGCTCCTCGTTTTATATTTATTTTCTGAATTTCCTTTTTTTGTTTGCACAGCGAGAGGAGAAGCAGCTGGAGAGTAGCCTGGAGACCCTTAGTGCTCAGGTTTCCGATATAAAGAATTCCTTGGTTGCCTTCATTCATAAGCTGGAGAACGAGTATGAGCGTCTGACCTGGTAAGCAAAGACACACATTCGCCAAGTACCGGCGCTCTCTTCTCTGGTTTAATAAAGAGCAGGATATTGTATTACATTGAAAGTGTATGTAGACTCTGATTCTGTTTTTTAGTATATTTGGTATCATGTCGTACTGTGTACAGTTTTCTTGACAAAAACATTTTTTTGTTTCTCTGTTGCAAAGTTTTTTAAATGGACATCTGGCACTTAGTAGCACATCCTGTTGCAGGCTGACATTACTAAGTCACTGCTTCACAATCGCCAGCAGCATTGTTAGCCAGCTGTGCACTCTTTAGTTGGCCACTGGACTGTCAATCTGATAGACTTGATAGGCAGCCCAACAGCCTAGTCAATGTGTGAAACAGGAAGTGCCGATAATGGCAGGATCAACAGGTAAGAAACTTAGCAACAGAGTCACAAAAAACAATTTGCAAGAAAACTGTATACAGTGAGGCATGATGGCAAACCTACTGAGCAATGGATGTCCTGTTTACATTGGAAGTGCTGTGTATAATGGAATGAAGCCTACATTCAGCTAAAACCTTTGTATAGAACATCTCTCAGGACACAGGGTGCTCTGTGGTGTCTGGGTATCAAAGGATGCTCTGGGTTCATTGGGTGACAGTATGGGGTCACTAGAAATCACATGGTGCTTTGGGTACACTGGGTGAAGCAGGCTGGGGTCACAGGGTGCTCTGGCTACACTGCTTGTCATAGGATGCTCTGGGGTCACTGGAAGTCACATGGTGCTCTGGGTTCACTGGGTGACACAGGCAGGGGTCACAGAGTGCTCTAGGTACACTGCTTGTCACAGGATTCTCTGGGTATTTACAGGTGTCACTAGAGGTCAGAGGGTGCTCTGGGTTCACTGCGTGTCTCAGGATGCTCTGGCTCACCCTAAGTGTAGCGATACCTTGTTTGACCGATGAGTTACACATCACTTTTGATTGGCACGGCTTTAATTTGAGAAGCCAGATGCTGGAGAGGAGACCCTGTGCTGGATTGGAGAGGAAGTGAGTGTGACATAGAGGCAAAGCATTTTGGATGTTCAAAAGGCCCCCCTCCATCAGGGTTGGGCAGATGATGAAGGGGGG